ATCTTCTGCAGACTGAAAAAAAAAAAAAAAAAAATTCTAATATCACTTTGCTGCTAACGAAATTTCGTCCAATAAACTCAATTTTGACTGGACTACTGCTAACGAATTTCGTCCGAATCCGAATTCATTTGCGGACCCGAATCTGAAAAACCACTACTGCTAACGAATTTCGTCCGAATCCCGCAACGAATTCAATTGCGGACCCAAATCCGAAAAACTAAATATGCAAAATCCGAATCAAAACTAAACTAAACTAAATCAATGTTTTGCTGGTGCACATGTCTAGGGACAGTTTCTCCTTCCATACATAGCTTTATCATATGGGAAGATATAATTAATTAACATTTTCCATTGAGACACAACACTGGCTGTATGGGTAATAAAAAATTATTCTCATAGAAATATTCCTGTATAATGAGGCCAGTGGTCTTCAGCCAATAAACAAAACAGACATATTTCAGGTGTGCAGGGATAAGGAGCTGTGTTATAGTAGCTAGGAAACCTGCCTTGTGTTGAGCATATCATGAACAGGTAAACGTGGACATAGGTCCTATTTTGTCTATTCTAATTGGGCATTATTAGTTCTGGTGTATAATAAAATATTTAATAATTCTGTTATTAATTGTTGGAAACTCTAGCATATAAGAAATGCACATATCATCCCATTCTTTAGAGGACATATTAGGCATAAGGAATTGGCATTTGCTCCTAAAGAGGAGACTTGACTAGTGTGTAATAAGTAGGAGTATAGGGTAGACATTAGTCCTTTTGGATCTCATTTCTAAAATTGCCTATTAAAGGGTATTTGGATACAGGCATGTTTAGGTTTCTAGATTGTGTCTCTATCTAAAAAAATAAATTGTGGGGTAATTCATGGGTTGCTTGTAGGTGCTGAAAGGAGTGCATAATAACTCTCTGAGTTTTTGTAATGTGTTTAATTTCAGTTTAAGTTTGTTATTGTCCCATAGAAATAAGGAGAACGTAGTGTTCATTTCTTTAAAAAGGGATCTGGGGAATGTCACAGGTATATGGCTAAGAATATGCAGGAACATTTTTTTGTAAGAGTCGGCAAAAGACTCTGGTTTTCCCTATTCCCAGATATTTGAAGGACGATACAGTTTTTAAGGGTGATGGAGGCAAGGAAAAAGTTGTTGGGGTTGAGGACAAGGATATATGAACCAACGTAGAGCATGATTTGATCAGTTCTGTTGTCAAGGGTTACGCCACTTCAGGTCCCCAGTTGTCGAATATTAATAGGTGGAGTCTGTATTGTCAAAGCAATTAGGAGCAGAGCTACCGGTCAGCCTTACCTCATGCCTCGGTGAAGGGCAAAGGATGAGGCTGTAATTGTGGTTTTTAGTAGCTGTACAGTTGGCAGAAATGTCGACAGCTGATCGGAGAATGCAGCAACTGATTCCAGAAATCTGAAATCAACTACTAAAAGAAACAACAACTGCTTTTTGTAGTGCAATTTCATCGTCACATGTAGCTGCAATTGCCCAGTATTGATTACCCATGATCGTCCTGGTTTTATATAATACCAATTGCAGGTATTCTTGCCTTTATATTTGCACTGTACAGTCTGCTGTATGTGTATTGCTGATTCATTTATTAGCTGGGTGGCACAACTAAAAATTACTCATGCACTGTATTTTAATCATGTTTATTAGTACTAAAAAGCGCCAACTGCAGTGGTTACTACACATTTTTTTTAAAGCGACACTGTAATGATCTTTCTCTTTAAAAGGGGTCATATAAACTCCTTACAAGTTTATATGACCTGTTTTGGAATGTGGACACCCATATTTTTGTCACCATTATGTGAACATGAAAACATGTAAAGTCCCTTCTTTTTTGCAGGCATTTCTGAACATTCAGCCTCAGACATATCAACTGGAACTCCTGCAAGGAACAGTTCATCCTTTCCAGGCCTTCTCACAGGAACTCTGCAACAGTATATATTCAGTCTTTGTAAGTGCTATGATAACTGCTTTATTCATAATCTGCAAGATTTTTATAGTTCATTTTACGTAATTTAGCCTTCTGGATTCTCTACAGATATACACTTCTCATTGTATAGATCAGGGGCAGGCAGTCTTTTTAGCCAAGTTGCTGAAAAATGTTTGTAGGAAACAAAATAAAAAAACAGAATTGGTGTCTCTGTCACCACACACAACCCACCTGCACACCATTACTTACTCTGCTGCTAAGCAGGACCATTCCTAATCTCTATGGGATGCTGATGGTAATATAAGATTATATATACAATAAAGGTTTAGAACCCCTAGGAGCCCAATGTGATCATACAACATGCAGGAGGATCCCAATGCACAATTGCACAAATAGGGGGTTATTCACTAAAGAGCTGAAGGATATAGCCGTAGCTTCGGCTAATCCTTCTGTTTTCTTTGGGCCGCCAGAGTCTATTCACAATAGTCCGTACAGCAGCTGAAGGCAGCTGAGCAGGTCAGCCGAGCTGAACGCATGTGCTTCGGCTCAGCCGAGCTGAACACACACTGAAAGCAGGGAGAACGGTCTGCCGAAGCATGCTGAGCCAAAGCCAGCCTATGTACAGCTGAAATCAGCCGTACTTGGCTGAAGTGAATAGCCGAATGGCGTTTGGCTCTGTTCACTTTGGCTCAGTTTTTCACTTGGCTGACTTTTTGTGCTGATTTGGAATATGCATTCTCAAATAGAAGTGATGATAAATTAGGAACGTGACAGGAACTTTCTTTGCCCTTTAAGTTTACAAGAAAAAGGTGTACAGAATAAATATGGTAAATTCGTGGTGGGAGAATGAAACAAATGCATAAAGTTCTGAATATTTATTTGATGGAATGTCTATTCATTGTACAAAACACAGCAGTATATGGTTGTTAATAATCATGTACATGTCTCCTAGTGCTAATAACATAAACAGTGGCAGCTTAGCACATGAAAAAAGACATCATGAGAAATCAAGAGAACATCTTTTTCTGGCATAGTGTGAACCCCTTATCTCAATAATTAAAGTGACACTAAACTCAGGAGTTAAATCTTAAAAAATCATTCACATACCTTAACTATTAACAAAAATTTAGCATATTTGTGCATCACTCAGCTGTAGATCCTCAAATCATCTCTGAATTGGTGCTAAAACTGGAGAGTGGCTACATTTGTTCCCCATGGTCCCTGTGTGTGTTGTAAAGTAGCAATCGCTCTAGGGTTGCTTATGTGATGGACTACAATCTCACAAGATATAAGAAATTTAGAAAAAAAATGTAACCTATTTCTCCCGAGTTAACTGGAGTGTTGTACAGTAGACACCGCTCCAAGCTCACTCCCATGATGGACTATAATTTCAATACAAATCAGTAAACTAAACATGAGATTGCAGTCCATCACAACAGTGATTTTGGAACACACTGGGACCATGGGTAACAAAAGTAGCCACAAAATGTAGCCTATTTGAGTGATACACAAATAAGCTACACTTTTGTTAATAGTTAAGATGCTTGAATGCATTTTTAAGATTTAACTCCTGGTTTTAGTGTCACTTTAAGAGAGAGCAACTACACAAGGCCAACAAGGGAGAGTGCTCCCTCTACTGGTAAATATATAAATTTCTGTTTTTAATAGTAAAAAAAAATCTGAAAGTCAAAATGTGTAAAAAATACAAGGGTCAGTCAAAAAGTAATGTTTACCTTATATTTTTAGAGACACGTTGATGCGAGGGTCAATCAGAAAATAATGCCTCCATGTCTGTAATTTGAGATCTATTAGAGTAACTGTGAATGTTCATGTACCATGTTTTAGAGCTGTCCTTACCCAACTAATGTATGCTTTTCTTTTTCAGAATGAGTGATTACAACCATGTATCTGCAGCTTAAACAATGTGCTGTAATTTAATTTCTGGCAAAATCCATTATGGGCTAAAGAATGTTGATGGAGACGCTATATTGGAATTTCAGTTACTCCTTCACCCAACACCACACGTTGCTAATGTCCACTACAGCGTCCTCATGACATTTTTTTAATCCAATTATGGATTTCCTTGGGTGTGCAACCCCCCTTTCACCAGAAATTCAGTTACAGCTCGTTATTTTAGCGGCGGATCCGTGGTTTTAATCAATCTGAAAAAGAAAAGCATAAATTAGTGAGGTAAGGAGACCTCTATAACATGGTACATGAACACTCACAGCCACTCTAATAGATCTAAAATTACAGACATGGAGGCATTATTTCTGATTGACCCTTGCATCAATGTGTCTCTAAAAATATAAGGCAAACATTGCAAAAAGCCAAAACATGCACTGAAAATACACTATTCTTTTGATTAATTGGGTTTACAAAAAAATGTTGGATTAAGTACTGCTTTCAGGTACATCACAGTGCAGTAGCATGTGATTGAATACTAATGTAATGGTGCAGTAATGACTAAGCTAATGGCAACAATACCCTTTTGTGGCCAAGGGGGCTCTGACTCAAGTTGTTTGCAGTGGGAAGTTATCAGCTTTGGCATCATGAGAAAAAAAAGGGAACAAGGTCTGCTTTTGGTATAAACATATAATTAATGAAATATTCTTTATTTTATGGTTGCAGAAGAGGAGGGTGCAGTTGCTGGTCCTTCAACCCGTAAGTAACCTTTTAGAATGTTTAAAGGGACCAAAGAATCTGATCAAGAAAAGAGCAGACAAACTTTTGGACTATGAAAACCTGGAGAAGTATAGTGAGACTGGTAAAATTACATGGGAAGAGGAGGATATTGTGAACAACTATAAGTGCATCCATTCCATGCTCATTTCTGAACTACCGCAGTGCATCGCCCTGTCCTACCAGTGGCTTCAAAAAATCCTGCTTACCTTTATGGCCTTGCAGAAAGATTTGTTTGAACAAGGACGGCATGCAGCAGAAACACATGCTTCAGAGGTAAGAAAGATGCTGGGTACACCAGTCATCAAAACTTTCTATTTATGTCATAAAAACAAGTATACTTAGTTGTGTATTTGTATCACTCAGCTGTAGATCCTCAAATCATCTTTGAATTTGCGCTGACACTGTCCTTCTGGAGGGATTGCTACTTTTGTTCCCTGTGGTCCCTGTGTTTGTTGTAAAGTTGCCACCAATGCAAGCACGCTCTTGTGATGGACTACACTGTCATGTTTATTTTACTCATTTGTATTGAGATTGTAGTCCATCACGGGAGTGAGCTTGGAGCGTTGGCTACTTTACAACACACACAGGGACCATGGTGAACAAAAGTAGCCACCCTCCAGAAGGACGGACCTTGTCAGAACCAATTCAGAGATGCTTTGGGAATCTACAGCTGAGTGATACACAAATAAGATAATTTTTTGTTGATAGTTAAGGTACTTGAATGCATTTTTATTAGGATTTAACCCCTGAGTTTAGTGTCACTTTACTAACTCTAGCACCTTCAGCTAACATTGGACCTTGAACTGAATGTTTTTTTGCTGAAGTTTGAAGGCACCATCATTTTTTATTTTTTTGCATGATTTTATCCAGTTGCTGAAGGCAACTTCAGGCTGACATCTTAATATGATTGAACTGATCCATCGAAGATGTAAGATTTTAGAATGCCACCATCTATCATACTCTTAAGAACATCAATCACACACAAAAAATATTTTTGAATTTTTACAACCCATAGTGTAGCGAGAGCAATACCTCTCTGTATTATTCATAAAATGAAACAGAAATTGATTGTCACTTTGTTTTCCCTCTAACATTAATGAAAACTTTAGTGGATCACTACATATAGTTGCATATATTTACATGTATTTCTAGATGCAGTGTTGCATGGCTGCAGAGGAAAACTTTAAGAGATGGGTAAACGACAGTATCTGCCAAATGGTTTCTCAGCTCAGTGAATTCATCAAAATATTTGAGGAGGAATCATTACCACCAATAGTACAGGTAAGCATCTTTCTGAAAATGCCTACAGACAAATTAGAATATAGTAAGATGCAGTAACCTCACATCTATTTCCATTGTATACAGTTTCTTATTAATGTAACACCTTCCTCATTGCTACATCTTTAGACCTTAGATGTCTGGCACACATGCACAGTAATGCTATGACCTTCCCTCCAGTAGTGTCCCACTCCAAGTTTATATTACCATAAAGGTAATTACCTCTCAGGAAAATAGACAGTAGAGCTCTTTGAGGAGATAATAATAATAATCACCCCAATAATCATATTCCGACTAACAAATAAGTTTTATACATAATGAGGTTTGAAAACAGGCTCACCCTAGTATTTATCGAAACTAGCAGTTCAAGAAATATATCCTACAATTATTATTTTAAAAAAGCACATGGGAAGTAGAGAGTTTTGTTTTTCATGTTAGTTCCAGGCTAAAATAGAGATGTGCAGATCAAAATAATAAATGGAATGTTAAGTAGTAAAGGTGGGAATCGGTAACAGTTTACACAACTATAGGACATAAAATTTAACTTTGTGATTATTATTATTACTATACAGGATTTATATAGCGCCAACAGTTGGTGCAGCGCTTTACAAAATGGGGGACAGTACAGTTATAATACCATTTCAGAACAGTAGGGTTAGGAGGGCCCTGTTCATGAGAGCTTACGATCTAGTAGGAGGGGCAAGTAATACAAAAGGTAATAATTGTTTAGTTTGAGTTAGTGGAAGAAGTAAAAGGGCAGTTATGTTGAGGTGGGATTGGCTACCCTGAAGAGATGAGTTTTTAAGGGTCCCCTAAAGGTGGACAGCACAGAAGATAAGCGGACAGACTGTGGTAGGGCATTCCAGAGGATGGGAGACACTCTGGAGAAGTCCAGGAGGCAAGCATGGGAGGAGGCGATGAGAGAGCCAGAGAGCAAGAGAGCGCCAGAGGAGCAGAGAGGACGGTTTGGGTGATATTTTGAGATGAGGTTGGAGATGTAGTCGGGGGCAGAGTTGTGGATGGCCTTGTATGTTGTTAGCATTTTGAATTTTATTAGTTGGGCAATTGGGAGCCAATGAAGGGATTGGCAGAGAGGGGCGACAGACGCTGAACAGTTGGTAAGGTGGATGAGTCTGGCAGCATGATAGACTGAAGGGGGGATAGTCTGTTTAGTGATAGACCAACAAGGAAGGAGTTACAGTAGTCGAGACAAGATATTGTAAGGGAGTGGCCTACCATTAAAAGTTTTGCGTTGTCATTTGTAGGGATGAATTTTGGAAATGTCACGGTGGTTAAGTCGACAAGAGTTGAATAGTGATTGGATGTGGGATTGAAAGGAGAGCTCAGAATCAAGAATTACAGCAAGCAGCCTGGCTTGACAGGAGGGGTTGGTTGTAGTGCTGTTAATTGTGATGGGGAAGTTGGGGGAGGGCACACGGAGAGGAGGAGATATTATAAGCTCAGTTTTGGACAGATTGAGTTTATGGTAGTGGTGTGACATCCATGATGAGATTTCAGTAAGTAGCTTAGTGATACGTTAAGAGAGAGAGGGGGTGAGCTAAGGGAGATTGAGTGGAGAGATAGATTTGGGTGTCATCAGCATAAATATGGTATTGGAAGCCATGGGAGGCTATCAACTGACCCAGGGAAGAGGTGTAGCTGGAGAATAGAAGGGTCCCAAGGACGGACCCTTGGGGAACCCCCACAGGAAGAGGAGAGGGTTAAAGGTAGAATTGGGAACAGTTAACAAGTACAGTCCGCAATATGATGCCCATTACCATGCATGAGCAAGATCTTGCTGCCATATTTTTTAAATCACAGTATGCAAGCAGTGGGGATCTCACCACCAAATCATAACTATAAGCTGACGAGAGTCTGCATATTTACACTATCGCGCATACGTGGGATCTCGCTGGATATTTTTGACATCACAATATGACAGTGAGAGCTGGCAAATGCACAGTAGTGAGCGTTCTGTACTGCTACTACCATGCATACACAAAATTCTAGAAAAGCACCAGGAGTCTCACTACTCTGCCAGCTCTTCCTGACTTTGCAGCTTTCCTCACACCACTCTACCAGCACAACCTCCTTTCTCCTCTCACTACGTACTGCTCTGCAGACTACATGAAAAAGTAATATTGCATTTATTTTTTATTTTACTATGTGTGTGTGCATCAAACTGTAAATGCTGCCTTATGTAATTAATTTATAGGTTTAACCTTTTACACTCCTATTACTCTCCTACTGACCCTTCATTCTGCTAAAAATTACACAATGGTCAGTGACTTATCTGACTTTACCAAAGTTGCCGTGTTTACTGGATAGCATTAGTAGCTCACTGAATGCTTTCACATGACTTCTGGAATTTCTTGTTGCAATCTTATATATTTTGAAATGTTGAAATGATCAGTCTCCATTTTATCCCACTTCTTTCTCTTTCCATGTATTAGGAGCACACTCCAGCCACTCAACGCCACATCCAACAGCTACTGCAACGCTACAAAGCTGATAAGCTGTTCCAGGTAGTGAGCAGTTTTGCAAGCTATAGGGAAATGGAGCTGAGCCTTAGCCGTGGTGATGTGGTCGCAGTTATCCAGCTTGCGGACACAAAAGGAAACAAAAACCGATGGCTGGTCGACACAGGAGGTATAAGCTATACCCTGAATAAATATATATGGTATAGTGAAACCTTTCATTAATAGTCAGTGGAAACCACTTTGTGGGCTGTGTTTTAAAATACAACAGCCTATGCTGATATGTACTGATTTGTGTTGCAGACATTCAGAGATGTATTATTGTCTTTTGAGCACTAGATGGCGCTGCAGTGCAATTTCATTCTCTATGCTCATGCATGTTTATCCATGATCTTTATGTTTCCTGTTTGTTGATGTATTTCTAAATACATGTATGCAACATCCTTCTAACCAAGTAAAACTTACTTAAGCATTCCTCAAGATTTCAGTGCTTCATCTAAACACATAACAAACAGGTTATGGGCCCAGGCACTGAACAGAGCACTGCAAGTCAACAAATGCTGCATCCAAGCTGGTGAAAGATGTCAAGTAGTTCAGATAAGTTGGAAATTGCAAAGCTCAACAATAGCAACTATCAGCTATGGAAGTTCAAGCTTGAAATGCTGCTAAACAAAGATGACTTATGGCAGGGCTCAAAATTTCAGGTCATGAGCTACTAGCCAGGCCGTAAAAGTTACTCACCACCAGTTGCCCTGCAAAACACAAACACAACCCGCACAATGCGCAGGGCACAGAAGATTACACATACAGCCACAGCACAATGCACAGGACATTATACATACAGCCACAGCACAACGCACAGGACATTACACATACAGTCACAGCACAACGCACAGAACATTACACATACAGCCACAGCACAACGCACAGAACATTACACACACAGCCACAGCACAACGCACAGAACATTACACATACAGCCACAGCACAACGCACAGAACATTACAAATACAGCCACAGCACAATGCACTGAGCATTACACATACAGCCACAGCACAACCCACTGGACATTACACATACAGCCAGAGCACAACGCACAGGACATTACACATACAGCCACAGCACAACACACAGGA